CCTCCCTCGTTCAAACTCCGTAAGTTGCTTGAATTTCTTATTCTTCCGTCGTGGAGGCATACTCAGGTCTCACTAAACGTTTGCCACTAACAAATAATCATAGACTATTTTCAACGTCCCGCTACAGCACTTTATTTATACGCTTTCAGCATCAATTCAGAGGGCGCTGCGCGCGCCACGCACGCGCGATGGCTCTGAAACTTTATTAATTTGCATAATATCCTATAATTGACATTTGCTGCGAATTTCATTTGATTCTGATGATTCCTTCATGGTGTTGCATTTTCTACAAACAGCAGTTTATATTTTATTGTTAATTTCATCAATCATTACCAAATCGTTACGATAATAATTAATAAGATTTTTGAGTTCTCATGGAGCCAGAAACTTGGTAAAATTTACCAACCTCTGCTAGTTTTAACCATATCTTACTACTCAGTGTATTAAATTTCCCCCGTTTATGTCTGACTATTTTAAACCGGACTATTTCGAATTTAATAGAACTAATTACAACACCAGGTTTGTACAGATCGAAAAGTTCTTGAAGTTTTCATTTGAATAACAAGTTCGTTTCCTTGTTCCTGTTCGAACCAATTACGTATTTTGCCGAAAAGAGGGTGTTGTGTATCAATTTTATTTTCTATTCTATTTCCTCCATTATTATTTCCTTAACGTAATAGCAGATTATTGCAGCAGCATAATCTGTATCTGAAAATTGTTGAATTCTCTTCTTAAAGTATCTCCAACTTGTTTCGAATAAAAATAAAATTATTAAATCGAAAAAACCCCACAAAGTAAAAGTTTTTTATGTCATTTGAATTCCGACTGAACTATATACGGATTTATTGCACTTTTTCAGAATCATTGTATAAAGTTATTTTGCACAATTTTATATTCACAAAATAACTCAGGACAACTCATGACTGCTACGCATTTGGACACGTGCTCTGCACTAAAAGACTTTGACTGTATTATTAAGAAGTACTGGAGAGCTAGAAGCCTAATGACCTAGTAGTCAATGGCTGTCATTCTATTATAATAATAGTATTCACAAAATTTGCTACTGTAATGTTAGCATAAGTTCACAGTGCAGAAAAGTTAAACATTTATATAAAAATGGGGGCAACATATTATATACAGAAATAGGACACCTCGCTTAAAAATATCTGTCGCAGTTTATTATTGTTTATTAAAATATTTTTTTAAAAATATCTTCTCACTTCTTGATTATATTTCATTTAAACTAAATTCTTTGTCTTTCAACAATGCCTTATATGGCCCAGTCGTCTTTTCAAAGAAAAACTGTTCTATTTC